TTTTTTTTTTTTTAGTATTTTATTGGGGTTTAACTGAAAGTTTACAGAGCAATTAAGTTTCACATTCAACAGCTTATACACATTTTGTTTTATGACATTAACTACACCCCCCTCAATGTAACAACACTTTCCCTACTTCCTACCCGTGGTCTCCATTTTTATTAGCTTTTCTTGCTATATGAGTTTTTATTTGGGGGGCATGCTAGCATTTCTGAAAGGAGAACAGGTTCCCTTTTTTGGCTGAAAAGGGATTTCCAGGAGTGGGTTTGTTTCCAGGTCTGCAGGGAGTCGAGTGGCAGTCTCAGGCTCGGGCACCATCTAGTCCTTCTGGTCTCAGACTAGTAGAGGATCTGGTTCACATGGTCCCTTACGCCTTTGGACTCGTTGTTTTTTTGAATCTTTGGTTTTTTTTTTTTAATCATCTATGTTCCAGCTGGAAGAGACCAATAGTTACACCTTAGATAGTTGCTCACTAGCGTTTAAGACCCCAGTCACTACTCAACAATGTAGGATGTAGGACAGGGGTCCTCAAACTTTTAAAACAGGGGGCCAGTTCACTGTACGTCAGACCCGTTGGAGGGCCGGACTATAGTTTAAAAAACCACTATTTAGAAGTTCCTATGCACAATGCACATATCTTATTTTGAAGTAAAAATAAAAAACAAACGGGGCAAAAACATCTGGTGGGCTGCAGTTTGAGGACGCCTGATGTAGGACATTATATTTGTGGACTGTGAAATGCCATTTGACCTGGTGTCCCCTAAAACTACGGTTCTAAGCCCAGTAGCTCAGACCTTCAAGGTGTGTGGTTAATGGCTAAGAAGTTGGCATCACCCTGCCCCAGTGTGCTCTACTATATACCTGGATGTATTAGCCACATGTACAAATGGGTGTGTAGAAAGAGCCTCTAAGATCTATGAGGCTTACAAAGTTCACAGAGAAATGGAATTGAAAGATACGGGATTTTTTCCCTGTGAACTTTTTGAAGCTCCTTGTAAACTCCCAGGTATATCCCCTACTCTCACCCCCAATTCAGCCTCCATATCAGTGCTGACCTCTATTGTCTTTACTATTGGGCACTGCCCAGTGTCTGCTTGCTCTGGTCACGTGGTGCTGACATCCCCCACGGAGTGAGTTCCCTCATTCCCTTTCCCTTCACCAGAATTAGCACTTGCATACTAACTGGTCAGTGATTTCCCGCCCTCCACCACCCACCTCAGGTGACCATCAAATAATTTTTTCCCCTGTGTGTCAACCTTGCATGGACTTTTTATAGCCACGGTCCCCATGCCGTCTGACCTTTTGTGAGGGTGTTCTTCACTCTGCATAGTGTCCGTCCACGTTGTGAGAAGCGGCACGCGCTCACCGATGTTGTGTGGCAGTCCACTGTGTGTGTGCTGTGCCATGTTTGTGTATCCATTCATCTGCTGTTGCACACTTGGGTGTTTCCAGCTTAGTGCAGCGGTGAGCACATACCATAAGGAAACACCGTACCAGCTTCCACAGTGGTTGCACCATTTTATGTAGCCCGGCAGTTGATGAGAGTTCCAGTCTCCCCACCCCTCTCACTGGTGTTTGTGGTTTTGGTTTGATTTGATCAGATCATTACTGTCATTACCAGGATGAATGTCCCACTGTTTGAGTGCCGTGATCCAACTCCTTGGATTTGTTGGCTGGCTGGTTGGCTTCTTTGGTGAAGTGTCTATTCATGTCCTTTGCCCATTTGTTAATTGGATTGTTTGTCTTTTTGTTGTTGGGGAATTGACTTTTCTGTAGATTTTTAAAGCTAGTCCCTTTTGTCAGATGTGTCATTGCCAAAAAGTTTTTCCCAGTCTCTAGGTTCTCTCTAATTTCTCCTTGAGAAATTATTCTACTTATTTTTAAATTTTTATTAGAAAATCATGATTAATTCTTGGAGTGCGTGGGAGGAATGAAGTCACTGTACTGGGAGCTTATGCAGTGACCGGCGGCCCAGTTTGGGTGAGGGCGGGGCGTGGAGGGTATGTGGGATGGGAGACGAGTGACATTGCTTGTTCTGCCCCAGCCTGTGTGCTTCTCATGGAGTGAGTCATGGTGATTAGAACAGCTCCTGTTTTATTGAGCACATTTATGTGCCAGTTATAGGTCGTTCTTGCGCCTCCTCAAGTTAGCTCTGATGTGCCAGATGCTGTTGCCCTCATTTTGTACATGTAGCAAGGAGAGGTGTTGGCCAAGCTGGGCCTCAGATCTCTGCTGGAGACTCCAGCCATTTTCTTTGCTATGGTTGAGTCCTGCCTCAGCCTTGGCCATGCTGAGAGCTTCAGTGGCTTAGAAAATGGGCCTCCTGCTGGTGTTTGGAAGACTGCAGCAGCTGGCAGCCCTCTGCCCCCTTCTGGACGTCCAGAGCCATGCAGAGCTACCCTCAGAATGTCCTATTCTATTGCAGTGGGGTGCTCAGGTGTGGGGGGAAATACCAGCCCCGCACAACTAATCACAGGTTCAGTAAGCGCAATGGTACAGTTGAGATATATAAATATTATATTAAAGTCATAGCATGCAAGATAAAAGAGAGATTGAAATAATGGAGTCAGATACATTTCATGGTAGCATGCTCACCTCAGCCCCGCTTGGTGGTCCACGTGGAGATGGTAGACCAGAAGACAGAGACAGGGAGGGGAAGGAGGACAAGGGGACAGGGGAAAAGAGAGGGGGAACTGACGAGAGGAACCTGAGAGTGCGCTTTATTGCTAACCCAGACCTTTATACCTTTGGGGAGGGCATGCAAGCCCCCTAATTACAGGTAGACATATGTCACAGGAAGGGGTTGCATAATAGGTTATACAGCAATGAAAGGGGGACAATCTAGGGATATACACGCAATAGGAAGAGGAGGGATTGGGAATATATATACATGTGACAAGATGGGCGGATTCTAGATTCAGGATGGCAGCCTAACTTTGAATGTCACTGAGCATGTTTGACCTGTTTTCTGGCCCACCATGGAAACCACTATCAGGGTGTGAACCCCCCTACAGGAACCAAACTGATGACTACAAGCCTTTAGGGAGAAGTAGCCCATTGTCCTTAACAGCAGGGAGCGGGGCTACCTGAAGTTGGCAACTGACTTGCATTCAGGGAGGGTGTCTTTAAGCATCTGACCTCCCACCATGCTAGCAAAAAGCCTCTAATGTTTGGCATGTCTTTGGGGGAGACAAAGCTGGGGAAAAGTCTCTTTATAATCCTACACTCAGAGAGCTTCGCTCTGCTCTGCCCTCTCCTGCCACATCCTCTTTTGGACTAGACCAGTGGTTCTCAACCTGTGGGTTGCGACCCCTTTGGGGGTCGAACAACCCTTTCACAGGGGTTGCCCAATTCATAACAGTAGTAAAATTACTGTTAGGAAGTAGCAACGAAAATAATTTTCGTTGTGGGGGGGTTACCACAACTTGAGGAACTGTACGAAAGGGTCACGGCATTAGGAAGGTTGAGAACCACTGGTCTAGACACACTGATGGGCATCCTGAAGTTTGAGGATGCTGACTCAGAGGTGCAGCACACAGGCTGAGGGGCCAGACAGACCTGGGTCAGATACACCTCTGAGCACCAGCCTGGGCAGTGATGGCTCTGTGAAGCCGTCCTCTTGGAATCTAAGCAGGAACCAGCGCTCCACATGACATCCTGTGTCAGGGAGCTCCATTTGGAGGCTGCTTACCACGAATGGGGCATACTCAGGAGGGTGTGCCGCGTGACCTTTTAGATCAGAACATAGCAGATCCGCGTGGTCACTGCACTGCCCAAGTCAGGGTGGCACCAGCGTGGAAGAAGAGTTGGAAGCGCGCCTCCCCCCGCCCCCCCTCGTTCTAATGGCCTGTGGTGTGCTTTGTGTGGTTTTCCTTTCTCATTGATTACTTCTCTTTGGTGCACACACATCTCTTCAGTGCTTGGGAAATCCAGAGATATTCCTATGGTGAGTAGGAGTCCAGCCTCCCAAAGACAAGCAGCCTGGAGAGACAATGGTATGCCCTCCTTGGGCTGTGCCTCCCAGCTTTCTGCTTTTCAGGGCCTTGGTTACCAGCTGGCAGTGGACAGAGGTGGCCAGTAGCATCCCCACAGCCAAAGTGGTAGGTGCCTACGGCTGTGCTGCCCACAAGGCCCTGAGCTCAGTGTCTGGTGTCTGGTGTGCTTTCTCTGCAGACAGAGGACTATCTGAAGCGGAAGATCCGATCCCGGCCAGAGAGAGCCGAGCTGGTCAGGATGCACATTTTGGAAGGTGTGTTCAGTTGAAATCACCTTCACGTCAGCTTTGTCTTCACAGCTTCACCACCCACACTTATCCCACCTCTTCCTTACCAGCCTCGTGCACAGAGCCCCTCAGCATCCCCGGGAGACCCAGCCATGCTCCTGGGCTGGCGTTGAGTGGCCAGGACCGTGCTGCCCCATGCTGTGGACCATGAAAGACCCTCCTTACCTCCCCTCCAGTCAGCCTCATTGTCAGGGGTGGCTTTGTGACAGGGAGCATTTGTCAAAGCCTGTGTGTCACAGGAGTGGGCAGCAAGGGCCTTCCTTTTCTCCCTTGCCCTCCTTCACGTCCTCCAAGCTTTCAGCCCTGCGCACAGAGCCACCCCTTGGCCACGTGCTGATCTGGCCCAGCTTCACCTGCCTCTCCATGTTGCCAGCACAGGAAGCTTTGGCTCCTGCGAGCAGCATGAATCTGCCTACGTTTTGTTTGTGTAGTTTGAGCTTTGGGAGGGCTGGCAGAACCCCCTCATCTACCACCGTTCTGCAGATGAAGGCTCTGAGACCCAGAGCAGAGCCCTGCGTTGCTCTAGCACAGCAAGTCCAGTGTAGAGTGGCAGCCGCTTGGCCATCTGCAGCAGCACTGCCACCTCAAAATCTTTGGGGATGTCTTGCACTATCATGTGTGACCACATGCTGCCACGGTTGACCCCTTCTCTTGACCATGGGAAACTTGAGGCCAGTCCCCCCACCCCCTTTTCTTCCTGGGATGTGCTTTCCATTCCAACAGGCAGGGGAGAGTTGCGCCTGGTCCCTAGGTCTGGTGACACAATCTTTCCCACAGAGACCTCGGCTGAGCCTTCCCTCCAGGCCAAGCAGCTGAAGCTGAAGCGAGCCAGGCTGGCCGATGACCTCAATGAAAAGATCGCCCAACGGCCTGGTCCCATGGAACTGGTGGAGAAGAACATCCTGCCCGTGGAGTCCAGCCTGAAGGAAGCCATCATCGGTGAGCCCAGGGAACCCAGCACCACGCAGGAGGGCTGCCTGACAGACCACCTCAGCATGCAGTCCTTGTCGTGCTGGGTGAGAGAGGCCCCTGGCCACCTCCCAGCACACCTAAAAGCCAGGGTGCCTGCTCTTCCACGGGCAGCAGACCCACAGGTGTGAGCCCGTAATGTGGCCGGCGCCTCAACTGGTGATCTCAGTGCTTTCAGTAGATGTTTCCTTAGCAAAAGGGCTGCTCCCAACAGGTGCTGGGCACCTGGCTGCGGTGTGGGGCAGCTATGAGGGGTGAGGAACAGCCTGGCTCTCCCAGGCACGAGGTGGCTGGCAGAGCGGGTAACAGACCAGGGACAGTGGCCCAGATGTGTTAGGTGTGGGTGCCAGTTTGGTGCAGTTGAGTGCCCCTCACTGCACTGGGGCGCAGCAAGGAGATAGCTAAGGTGTCAGGAGGACATGACAGGGATGCTGGAGCAGCCTACTGGGCCAGGAGACTTTTCAAATGTGGTTTGGCAGCTCAGGAAGCTCAGCAGACTCATGGGAGTCATGCCCTGACAGAGGGACTCAGAGAAGTCAATGAGCAGACAGACAGATGGATGGGTAGATGGGCGACTCTGGGTCTGCTCCTGCTCAGCGTCAGTGCTGTGCAGGTAGGCCTGGGGCTCAAGGCCACACACACACACACTCACTCAAGGCCACACACACACACACACACACACACTCACTCACTCAAGGCCACACACACACACACACACACACACACACACCCTTGGTGTCAGGAGAGCCTCACAGCCTGCTTATACTGCTCGGAGGGCTCAGGGTCAGCGAGTGTG